TTACACTCACCATACGAAACACAACAGCATTTAGCTACTATTTCGCGCTGGTATTCTGTGAGAGCGTGGCCCTGCCCCGGTCGAGCCGACTTATTCGTGCTACATTATACTTCTAATATAACTGCAGCATGGCTTTACCACGGAAAAAAGTACCACGTAGGTACAAAAATACAAAAAATATTCACTAATCTGAGCCACACAGAACCACGAACTGCTGTTGAATCAGACACTTGCGCCATCTTTGCCGTAAAGTGAATGGTGATAGGGTAGACCAGCTGGTGGTGGCGGATCGTTTCAGATTTAAGCAGTGAGGAATTTGAAACACCCATTGGCTCCAGCGAGTCTAATCCTGGGTAATAGAAACCAAAGACATATTTCTCTGACCGAGAGTAAACTTTTTTTTCAACAGCTATCTTGTCATGCAAATAACTAGGAGATGCTACGTGATGCAGTGCCTGGTTTCAGCAGCATATTTTAACGTGATACTATTAGACATATTTAAAATGCCATTACTGACTGATCCGTCCACGGGGTTGTTCTGTAGGTCAACATTTCCAGAACGTTAATTCAAACGTTGGTACCAAAAACGTAATGTCTTTTCTATTACAGCTTTCCACACATATATATCATTATTCCTTTGAGCTGTTTTCGCAGCGCTGGTGCCACGGTGGAAATTGTATTCGTAAATAACGGGTTATTCAGGGTTAATTTAAGTTTTCTATATTGTGAACAGAACGACGTAAAAGGAGCGAAAACAAATTAATCATTAAATTCGAAACAAAAATACATAAGCCTAAATTTGAAATAAATTGGAATTTAGAATTCCTAAAATCAAACTGACCAGTTCTACAAAACGCCAATTTCATATTTAAGGACCTAATAATACTTAGTATTAGATTTAAGGGCCGGGGTTTAGAGTTGGTAAATAGCAACTCAAGAGCAATTGAAAAGGCTGTGGACAGAATGTTTCTTTTTTTAATTTTTAATTTACACCGTATTTGGCGGTGAAAAATCACGTCATGGAGTAGCCAGCATTACGTGTGATGCCAGCCATGTCAGCATTAAATAGTTTCGAGGATATGTAAGGGTTCGCAGTTTTGTGGATTTCACGCTATTAGTTGGTGACAGTTCAGGAAGGTACACCGTATGCAGGTGTGGTTGGCATTTGTGAAGAAGCTAGCTTATTTCCTTTTACGCCCAAAGCCCGAGATATCAGTAATAGGAGAGAACACTAGAGATAGGGACTAAGATTACATGTGACATATTCAAAAGAAAAATACAATCTTTTTTAGAACATTTTTGATTACAAAAAACGTTTAAAATTAAATAACAATTATGTTTATTCCAAATATTAATTCCTAAAAGATATGGATTTGGGAGCTTGTAAGTTAATTTTGAAAAATATACACTGTCCATTACATTAATATAAGTGCATATAAAACAGTAAACTACGGACACTTAGATAAGTCTACTTCACTCACTCACTTTTATTTTAAGCAAGAATTTAGATAACTCATCATCGTATGTATCACATTCTGCTGACGTTGTAACGTTAGTGTTTAACATCACGATATATTATTTTTAGCCAACGTGTCTTCTAAATCTCGACGATATTATAACGTATTGAACATCGGATTATAGAGTTGTGAGTCATCCATACCAATCTTTGGCTAATCCCGCTAACTCCGAATGTTGCGTGGGCGAATACAACAAGGCTGGTTTCGTCAAAGTTAATTTGACTCCCCAAAAATAGATTTTAAATATAGCGAACATTTCAATGATACGTGTGCATACAATTCAACTGTATGTTTATTTTTAGCGTAAACAATTTAGGTCAAGTTCGGAGAAGTTTCGACGACAGAAATGTTAAAACTATAAAATCGGACATAATAATAATAATGTCCTTCAGAACGAATTTCGGCCACGGCAGCCTGCCTCAACGGAGACTAGCCATCGGTGCAGGACAGGATTATAGTGCCCAAGTGTATGCGCAAGCACAGGTGCACTTTCTATTCCCTCACTCTCATAATCCGATGGGACGGTAATCCGACACGACCGGAGAGAGATCAGGCGCAGGACCAACGGCTTTACGTGCTTTCCGAGGCACGGGGGTGAGACACCGCCAACTTCCTGACTCCGGGCAGTCACTGAGAATTTCTTGACGGCAAAACGCAATAATTGATTTATTGGCCCAACAAGGGATGAACCCAGGACCTCATGATCAGTAATCTTAGACCATTAGACCAACGAGGCAATCCTCGGACATAATAACATTGTACAGGCTACATTAAACTGAACCTATATATAGATTCCTTATAAAAGACTATCAAGTATCAAGTGCTTAAAATTACTACACACATTAACTACGACTAAAATTACTACAGAAATAAAAATAAGTGTGCCGTAAAAATGCGGATCAACAACCACTGTGTAGAACTTTTAAATAGCTTGTAAAAGTACCTTACTAAGATCAGCGAAATAATTTTTGCTCGATGATTATAAACTCTACTCCCTATACTATGAAACCTACATATACAGTTTAAATAGGTTATAACGACATTAACCATTCAACTAAGGATAAGGACACTATATCCGATAACGGTTATACGTAATATATACGCATACAAGTTAATATACTCATGGACTAATTTAGAGGAAAGCAAAAAATGTGCTTAAAAATATCATGGATATTTGTCACAACTAAGTTTATTAATTTTGAGTTTGCTTATTATTCATTAGTTTAAAATTTAAAACGTCGAAAAAACAAACAATCAAATGACTAAAATTAACCAAATTAAAAAAAAGGATAATTTACGGGAAAGAAACATTTCAGTACATAAAATTTTATTCATTGTATTCATAAATGCTTAGGGAATTCTATAATGTAAGCTATAATCAGTACTAAGTGTTGCCCTCTCTAGCTCTTCGAACTGCTTCGAGTGTCCTTTGCATACTCCTAATCAAGTTATCAATTAAATTTTGGTAAGATACCCTCCTGGCAGACAATTGTGAATTTATTCCAAACGATTTCAGTCTTTTTCTCACAGTTTTTGTGCTTACTGTTACCCCCTCAAACTTCGTTCTTACGTCAGAAGAAGTTAAGGTCGATAAACCGGTCATCTCTGACCACAGTTTTCCGTTTACGTCCGTATCCTGCGAGTCGCGTATACTGTCCAGTCTGTCGATACCTCTTGACAACTCGATGTAATGTTATTTTTGTAAGTGTGCCCAGTTTCAATTAAAGCAACAGCCCTAGCAACTTGAGTAACGTTTAGATCTGGCATCCTCAGTTTACTTGCAGTAGCTAAACAAGGCAGACAAGACAAAAACTTCAACATAACCTAAATTTAAACTTAAATTCAAAATTTGGCAAAATTTTTCTTACTATCAAAGAACGCAATATTACGCAATAATTACATAAAAACTAAGAAATTCCGAAAACAATATTTCAAAATTTTCTTCCTATAATAAAACTGATGATTGTGGCCAGTACACACGATAATGCAGCAGGAGAAATTAAACCATTTTACTGTTTATTTATGTATGTACTTATAACAAACATAAACAAACATTGCCGGAGACCCTTTTTACTGGAAATGAGGCATTCCATCTCAGTCCTCACGGGTGACAACGCATCTGCATTTTGATTTCTAATGGAAGATAGATGTAGATGTCTATGGGCCGCAGCAACCACTTACCATCAGGTGGACTGTGTGCTCGTTTGTCACCCTATCCTATAAAAAAAATAACAAGGAACCAATTTGTAAACTTTTTGTCTGTCTGTTTGTTCCGGCTAACCTTACTTTAGAAAAACAATTAGGGTTCCGAGTTAAAAAATAATAAAAACCCATGAAATCCAACCGTAACAAATTTCACGCGGACGAAGTCGCGGGGAACAGGTAGTTCAATATAATTGCGTTTTGTTTACAACATACAACAATATTACGAGTACAACGTTAAAACATTGAGGGCACTTGTTACCGTTTTCAATAATTATATTATAAAATTAACAATTAGGTCAAGAACAAAAGAAGGCCACATTTCGTTCGTAAGCTCGTGACGGCATTTGAAAATAAAGTAACATTTTTATTTTGAGACAACATTATTTTTAAAATGTGTCATCATTATCATCATCACCTGAACATAACCGTAGTAAACTCGTATTACATTGTATTCATTTTAAAACATGAAAATATATGAACTCTAAGCGTTAACCACTCTTACTAAACTCAAAAAGTTTGCGTTAGAAGTGGTTCATCACAGTTCATCGACAGTAATCGAATGGCTTTTTGAACCTATTATAGTTTGTCAGCCTATTCTATTCTTTATATCCTATTCCTCATCATATGGCTACCATTTCTTAATGATGATGTTAATCAGGCAACGGAGACTCTACTCTTCATAACCTAATATAATAGTTATCCTACAGCGTCAATTCTAATTACGAGCTACTCATTTGCAGAAATTATATAACGAAATAGTAAGTTCTAATAGTGTGTTGTATGAGATTGTATGTAATTCCACGTAAAACGGTACGTGTGGTACGGTACAGGTTGCTTGGAGCGCGGTAGGCTCCGAGGCTTGGTAATGGCGAACCTGCGGCAACATTAATCAAATTACACCTCGGCCTCCACAGCTAGCGCCGCCAGATTTTCACATCGGCTCATTTGCGCTAATTGTGCACGGGATTGTCACTCAGGCTTGAATAAACAACGTGCCGCGCGGCAAGGATTAGGTGATTAGCCTTAATTGCGTTACCACGATTATTTCGCGTAGAGCCGTCCAACTGCAGCTTGATTTTATATTCAAGTAGATTTGACTGCACGAATTTCGGTCGAGTTTAATGCGGAAATTTATAGGCGAGCTAATTTGGCATTGTGTTATGCCCGTACATTATATGTATGTCTGGTAATTTCTAAATTAAATAACTATAGAATCTATTTCTCGTGTTTGTTTGAAATCTACACTGTTTTATGCTGTAATTTTCTCTTTTATTACAGCGAATAAGCTTTGTGAGGAGTTGAATGGAGTGGGCAGCGGAGGAGGTGGTGGTATGCCTCCAGTGAGCGGCGCCAGCGGCGGGAAATGGACTGGCGGGTGCGGCCTCCTACGCCAACCTTCAGGCTTCCCTCTGCTCGGCGTAGCGCCACCCAATTACTTGCTTTCTGATCATCTTGGAACTCTCGCTAAAACAAACAATCATCTTTTCTAATGGACGCAGCATCGCCTCTACCACTCGGCTGTCTCTACGCCAGAATGCAACGAGGCCGATCTGAGAGCCACAGGTTTCGAAACACCAAATCAATCACACAGTTACTCGTCCTTGTATTTTATGTGACAATCATGTTTAAATGCGTAAGTGGACTTTAAAAGTGAATTTAATGTAACAAAATATCGTTATAATCATCGGACTGGAAAACGAAGAAAAACTTTAAGTGCCAAGTGTCCATTACAAGTAGTAAATGCAATATATATGTTGCAAAAGAAATTTTAGATGTATTTAATATAAAAAAACGGCTGACATATAAATGTATTTAAATACATGGCATAATTTAGGTAATGATAGTTAAGGCGTATTTATAAAGGGACAATTCCATGTGCATGAAGATAAGGTGAAGTGTTGCAATATAAAACAAAATACTTATATTTATTTTAAAGACATTTTACAGTAGGTATTATTTTCATAAGTAGAAAAAGCTTATAAAATATTGTTACAAAATTTCATTGTAGTGAACAAGATTTTGAGCGAAAACCGACGATGTAAATAAAAAAATCGTATACGTTTTCTTAAATTAGTTCTAATTCTTTTTAGTTATTTTTTTACTTTTAATTTTCACATTCCATTAGATTCAAAGATATTATTAATTTGTGATAATATGTAGCAATGTACCAAATATTTTATCTAGTCAAAAATTCTTTTGTGTGATTAAATTGTTGACCTAAGTAAATAATTAATTTATGATTTGTGGAATATGTTTTAAAATGTTGTTCAGTATTTTACGAATGGACTGCAGTGTGAACAATATTGTAAATATGTGATGTAATATATAAATGTACATATGTATCATTCGTCATAGTATTGTAACCTGGGTGTATGTAACTCTATTGATGAGTATGTGGAGGGTGTTTTAATAAAGAGATTACTAAATTGATTTTCAATCTTAACTTTATGCTGTAACACTCTGTTAACTATTATGTCTTGCCTTAAACCTAATAAAGTTACAGTCTATACTTGTCCCTTTTACGGTTGGTTACAGGTCTTTTTTATAGGAGAGGGGGCAAGCGAGTATACGGTTCACCTGATGGTAACTAAGTGATTACCGCCGCCCATGAGCAATTGCAACACCAGGGGAATTGGAGATGCGTTGCCAGCCGTTTAAAAAGTATTAGGCTCTTTTCATGAAGGTCTCTAAGTCGTATTGGTCCGGGAAAATCTCTGGTGGTAGTCGACTCCACAAGGAAGTTGTGCGAGGAAGAAAACTTTTTTTAAATCTCACAGTGGTGGACCGTCAGTTATCCAGTCATCCCCTTCTCATATCCGAGAGAAAAGGGGAGTTGTAAGCTGAGATGCTCCATTTTCTGTTGGCAGATTTCGGATATCCTTTAAATAATTAATTCTCAGATATGGTGGTTTGTTCACTGCTTGCACTTTGTATACCAGCATTTAAAATTGTACAGATGCGTTGGGGCTTAGAGGAAGAGCCTACTTTTTCCTCGATGGTTCTTTAAGATCGGGCCGAAAAAATACTCGGTTACTCTGGTTCTACCCTGGATATCTTCATTATTAATTCTATCACATACAGAAACTCCGAATATAGCCCTGGCTGCTGACTGTAAAGTGTGGAGAATAGGATAACATGAAGAGAGACATTTTATTGTGCTTCTTTTCTTTTACTTCTTTTCTTTGTCTTCTTTGCCTTCGTTTTAGTTCATTGAATTATTTAAGCCTGAATTTGTATTGAGGTGAGGTGTCGATACGTAAACCGATCTTCTCTCCCTACAACTAAACAATTCTAAAATACCATAAAATAGCAGCTCGATGCTGCTGTGTTTCGATGGTGAATATAGAGAACCGGATACTTGTTTTACTGTAAACGAGGCATTCCGTCTTAGTCCTCAGGTGTGACAACGCATCTGCATTTTGATTCTTAAACGAGGGTAAACGTAGGTGTCTATGGGCCACAGCGTCCACTTACTATCAGGTGGATGATGCTCGTTTGTCACCCCTATTCTATAAAAAAAAACTTGTACGCCTGTGAACTAGCCACCAGATTCTTAGGTATTGAGAGTACATTCTTTGGCCAGCAGAACGGCTTAAATAAAACTTCATTTAATTGAAATCTGGCAAGGAGTAAGCACGTGGCACAGCTTAAGTGATTTCTTCAGACGTAGTTTCCGTAATGTTAATAATAAAATCAATTCATATTGTAAGTTTTTTTAAAATCATTAATGAAAACTTACGTCTAATGAAACTATTGGACTATCCGTCGAAACGACTGAAATATCCATATTAAGAAAAAAATTCCCACGTTCTTTCTATTATACGCAACATTAAACATTGAACGACTAACGATTTTTATTTTCGCCTTCGTTAAACTATTAGAGCTGGTTTACACTATCCAAAATCGATTAAATCTTTATTATATTAGATTAGATAATATTAAACCAAAAATACTCATATCGAGTAATCATACATATCATATCCTCATGTAATAAATACAGTGTAAATCTTTGTGCAAACTAGTAATACCCATTTGTGACTACTAAAGTGAAGTGCGGTGAAGTTCAATGCAATTAGATCGGAACAGCGGTAAACCAGGGTTAAGGTTATGGTACAGGATAATCACACCATGTTTCAACTTTTAAATAAAATGTAAATACTAAATACTAATTTCTCAGACATGAACGTCTACAAAAGACAATGTCCCAAATCTTAACAATTGATTTTTTAAAGTCTTGTAGTAGGTAACATAAAACATAATATCTATCATCTAATATCTATCTAAATAATGGAAATATTTCTTAAATATTTGAATATATAAATACTTAAAATCGTTATCATGAATTCATTGTTATAAGAAAACGTATGCATCTACCACTACGTAGAGCAGCTGGCATCGACAGCGGGAGCGTGAATATGGATCTAAATTTGGGTGTGTTACAAATATAAAAATGTTATTTACTAATAGAGACGTTGTCGGAGTAACGTGAATCATGCCATACTACATAAAACACGCGTGGTAAACTGAGAAGTGCCTCTAACATGACATACATTAAATCTGCTGATCAAATTACAATCCCTAAAATTCTACAAAAGTGTTTGCCAAAACACCATAATGGAAAATGAAACATTTTAAGTCTAGTGTAGGCACTAAAGTGATATATTGTGTGTTAACTATATTTTAACTAACTTACTTTACTTTAAATTACTACCTTTTGTTTATTTTTTGACTATTTGTTTGACGACAAAAAGAAAATAACACAAGCTCTGCTAGCTTGGGACTAGATGGCGGTGTGATAGTTGGGAATATATTATTTTTTTCAATTGTTGTGTTATACGTTTAAAAGTTATTAATTAAAAAGTCAATCTAAGCTAAAATATTGAATTAACAGAAACAAAGTCTATTTCAGATTATCATGTATGTATTAGATCATTTAAAATTAAGTTCACTTCTTCATAATTATAAAAAAAATATTGAAAATATTCGAATTCAACGTGTGTCGTCTTATTTTATGGCTGAAAGTATATCACATTAGCATGTCATGCTAGTTTTGATTAATTGTAGAACATATTATTATAATTTGGCAAGACTGTCTATGTGATGTCATTTTGATATTTTATATTGCGGGTAAAGTACTACATCAATATGTATATACACAATATATCTGTTCCTAGAAGAAAGTATTTTAGTAAAAAAAAGTCTAGAACATGAAACGATATAGGTACCTATTATTATTATTATGTATTCAAGTTTTAATTTTTTACCTTGTTTCACCTACGTCGAAATTTCATCACTTCAACTTTTGCAAAATAAAATACGTAATATTTTCGGTGAAATTTGAGATTACATAATATGAAAACTGGGAAAGCCTCACCCGGACACCTAAGTTGAATCACCCCGTATTTAAGTGTGAAGAAAAACGAAACACAAAAGTTACGGTGTTTCAAAGAAAATGTTTTCCATGCAGTTTAAAAGCTGGCGTATTCACTATTATTTTGATATGCTGCTTCAAAATATTATTTTTTTTATATAAAATAAGTGTGACAAACGAGCACACAGTCCATCTGAGGGTAAGTGGATGCTGCGGTCCACAGACATCAACATTTATTCTTGATCAAGAATTAAAATGCAGATGCGTTATAATATATAACCCCTGAGGTCTAAGATGAAATGCCTCATTTCCTGTAAAAAAGCATTAACCTGCATTATATATATACTGATATTCTGTGAGAGCGTGTTCCTACCCCGGGCAAGCCGACCCATTCGTGCTAAAACTACGAGTATAATAATGTCCTCCAAACCGAATTACGGCCACGGCGGCCAGCCTCAACGGAGGCTAGCCATCAGCGCAGGACAGGATTATAGTACCCAAGTGTGCACAAGCACAAGCGCACTCTCTATTCTCTCACTCTCGTAATCCGATGGGACGGTAAACCGACATGACCGGAGATAGATCAGGCGCAGGACCAACGGCTTTACGTGCTTTCCGAGGCACGGGGGTGATATACCGCCAACTTCCTGACTTCGGGCAACTACTGAGAATTTCTTGACGGAAAAACTCAATAATTATTTTTTGGCCCGACCTGGGATTCGAACCCAGGACCTCACGATCGGGAGTCGCACTACTACAACCACTAGACCAACGAGGCAGTTACAACAACAACTATAATATATCTGCAGCAAATACTAAACTAAGCTTAGATACTCATATGATACGCCATACGCTAGGTTTTTAAGCATATAATTAATTTTATTGCATGATAATACAAGGGAACACACTGCAGAAATCGTCAATATATTTGATAATACTTCTATATGTATTTGATAATTATACTGCTGGCTATGGTCCTCTTCTATTCAAGAGAAATGAGGACTAATAATCTCCCGCTCACCAGACGTCGCTAGTTGACACTGAGGTCAAGTTTTTGAAGTAAAACCTCTTTACGCACGCTTGACTTGGGGAGTAATCTGGCGAACGCTTGACGAAAGC